CAAGCTAACTCACATACTATGACACACAAAAAGTGAAAGTATCAAAATAGATGTCTTCTACGATTTGCCATCATTCATAAAAAATGTCACTAGAAACGGTGTTAAGAAAAACTTTTCTACACACTGAATCACGTGTTGTCAAATCTATTTACACTTTTCTTGACACGTGTTAGAGAAGGTTTTTGTACATTTCAAAGAACTTTTACCTTAAGTGACTTCACATTCCATGCATTTTTTCCATGTGTCAAGTATCAATTCTCATTTCAAAAATTTAGCATTGGAGATGCTTCAAGCTGCTTTGGAAAAGATCCATTTTTAGGATCGGAGTATTAGTGCGACAAACCGTATCATTATTTTCACACTATAAGCGTGATACATTATTTTCAGGGTCTAAATGCATGGTTGAACCTCTTCCCAAAAAATGGTTGAACCTCTAGGTTGAAACTCCACTACTAAAAGTGGTGAATGTCTCTCAAAAAATGAAAACTAAACAAGCTTCAATTTGATATTTAAAAAATTAGCGCAAGGACTCGAAACTCATCACACAAGTCGTCTCATTTGTACAACTACCCGTAAGGCCGTAACTCACCAACAGCACAAAAATCAGTACAAAGTATGAATTGAAGTATATCCGAACTACTAGTACGTAGTAGTTTTTTACCCGAACTAGTTTCCTGTCACTCTTAGAGACTCTTTGTCATTGCCTCAACCGTTTTTTTGATCATCAACTCCAACTCATATATTAAACCATTACAAAGAAGATCATTACAACAGACACAAAAAGATCAATCCTGACAAAAACTAACCCTAAGCAACTATCGCAATCAATCCTACGACTAGACTCTCAGAGGATCACCCCTTAAAGAGCAATACGAATCACTAACCACCAAGCGGGTGTGACACATCAATCACAGACCATATAGATCCTTCTAATGACATAATATCTAGCAGAATTGACAATCAAAATTGTAGATCCAAACCTAAATACTTCAACAAAAAATGGAACATCGTAAACCAACATAACATGAAAATAAGACCATAAACAATAAAATAATGGACAAAAACACCAAACTTCTTGAAATTTCATCTTCCAAATCCCGACATCTCGATCAATCCCAGGCGGCGGTGGCTCAGGAGGGGGACGGACCGCCGATCTGTAATCTAGAGAACTCAGAATCTCCCTTGCCCGCTGACATCTCAGTTTTGTCTCCATCACGAAAATAATAGAAGGGCGATTCTGTTTGTTGAACCAAATCTGTCAAACACTAAAGCGCTGCTGGAATCCCCAACCCTCTGCAATTCCATATGATGATACACATCTTCCACTAAACAACACACCCCAAGGCTTCGATTTCTCGAAACTGCAAGAAGTATGCACACATTCAACACTCCTACCAATTCGGAAAAATCTGAAAGCAATAACAAAAACCAGCGCCATGATCATAATCGATCACAGCCGGACAACCATGCTAGGCATTGCCTTGCGGCAACCCTAGAGAGTAAGAAACCGAAGCTCCGAAAAATACGAAGTCTCTTGCCTCAACCGCTAAAAAATGATTTTTAAACGGTGCTTTCTTGTAAAAGTTGATAGTGTTTTAGAATATAAGTGATTAAGATGGAAAGTTAAAGTTAGAAATTAATTAGAATGTTTGATAAAAAAATGTTTTTTTGATGTAATATTTTATTAAAATACAAATATGCACTTATATAAAAAAGATAGGGGGAAAAAGACTATAATAGGAGTAAAACATGGGCTTGGAACACAAATAAGACCTCTAACTTTTTAAACCCTAAATAGGACTTATTTTCATTGACGGGGACAAAAATACCCTCACATCTCACGTAGCCACACAACACGCACACCAGAGACACAATATCCTTCCGTGCAGATCGAACTCCTACGTTTACGCTCTTCTGGCAAAATAGTTCAACCTCGAGGTGGCCGTGTGCAAGGAAGACGAGCAGTTCCCGTTGCCGGCGAGTGGCCAGTGGGAGCTTCGTTCCCGTCGCCGGAAAGTATCCTCTGGGTGGGCATCTTGCCGTCGGTGTTGGACTGGTACTTGGACAAACGAGTAGATGACATGGTGAGATCCGGAATTATGGAGGAGCTTGAAGAATGGTTTCACTCGACGAGAAAAATACCCCTGAGAATCTGAGATCTCTATATCGGGATGGCTACATCCCCTGCGACGAACAATCGCCTTCAGCCTAGCTAGAGACTCTCGCACAACTGCACTGTTACTAAACCTCCGTCAATGACCTCCACTTCAATAGGGGGAATCAAAGGATTTGCCACGAAATATGTGGCAAATATGAACTTTCCACCCATCAAAGAGTTTTCTGGAGCAATCTGAGGGCCTTCCAACTAATTAAGAGCTTTGTTGTCCAGTGAATTGATTTTTTGACCCATGTAATGATTTTTGCAATGGTAGGAGGGAATGATTGTGTTGATGCTTTCTTTCTTATTCATCGTATCTATTGCCATTTTCAATTTGTTGAATTTTATACTCAGTACTTGTTCTATGAATCACGTGCTTGAGAGTATTTTCTTTTGCTTGTTCTGTTTCAATCCATGAGTACTAATGCGAAGAGTGGTTTATTTGGAAATCTGAAAATCTTCTGTTGGATTTTTATTAGGGAGTAGTTTTTTTTTTTTGTAATACGTAGTACCTAGTACTATGTACGTATAATTTTCTTGTTGTTCATATTTTTTCCACAATAATCATACTATTATTATAAAATTTTCACAATCACACAATATATAAAAGAGTGAATTCCCTAAATAGGACTAAAAAGTGGAAAAATTGCACAAATAGGACTACATTTTTTAAATTCCCTTAATAGGACTATTTATGTGTGTTTGGACAAATATACCCTTCTAACTTCTGAAATGTTTTAATTAATAATAAAATCATAAAAAAATTAATAAAAATCGAAAAAAATACTAAAAATCGTAAAAACAATAATAGAAAATTAATAAAAATATTTTTTAAAAAAAATAAAAAAAAATATTTTTTGTAAAAAAAATAAAAAATAAATTAAAAAAATCATAAAATTAAAAAAAAACACATTACCACCCCTGCCACCCCCAACACCACCATCTCCCATCACCGGACAAAAATATGCCAACATTTTAAATAATGCCATAATGATGGCATAATCAATGAAAATGTTGGCATATTGAAGAGTAATTATGCCATCTTTTTGACATTTTCAGAAAAATATGGCATTTTTTTACCAAAAGTGGAAGAAATTTCACCAATCGGAGGTGGTGGTGCTGGGAGGCGGCGGGAGGCGGTGAGAAAGGTATCCATAATTTTTTTCATTTTTTATGGGTTTTTACTATTTTTTATTATTTTTTTAAAAAAATTAAAAAAATAAAAAATTAAATTTTTTATTTTATAAATGTTTTATAATTTTTTTTAATTTTTTTACGTTTTTTAAATATTTTTTTACGTTTTTTGTGATTTTATTATGAATTAAAGCATTTCATTATGAATTAATACTCTTAGGGGTATTTAGGATAGAAAATCAATGTTTAGTCCTATTTAGGGAATTTTAAAAATAGTAGTCCTATTTGTGCTTTTTAGGAACTTTTTAGTCCTATTTAGGACAATTTCCGTATATAAAAATAACTAAAACTGTCAATAATAATGTTGTCAATGTCAATATCAATGTTATAAAAATGTCATTGTAATAATCACATCGCAATATCTATAATAATGTTATGATAATGTCAATGTTATAAAAATGACAATGTTATAAAAATGACATTGTTAAAAACAATGTCAATGTCATAAAATTGTAAGTATTGTCGAAAAAACATAACAATGTCAAATAATGACGATTTCAATGCTATAAATTAAATGTCATTGTAATAATCACAATGTCATGATAATGTCAATGATATAATTTTGACATTACAAAAATGACAATGACAATATTAATGTCAATGACTTTCAAGGCAATGTCATTGCTATAATTTAGAAAAATGACTTAACGTCAAAAAAAATGTCACTATATCAAATACTAAAAATAACAATGTTTTAAATGACGACAGTGTAATAATGACAATGTGAATGTTGATGTCGATATATATGTCTACCATGACAATGTCATTGGCAGAATGTAGAAAAATTTTACAATGTAAAAAAAATCACAATAACAAATAATAACAATGACATTGAAAATAGTGTGAAAAAAGTTGACAAAATGTTACCCTATCGAAAAACGTCAAAATATCAAACAATGTCAAAGAAAATGTCATAAAAATGTTGTAAATAATAACATTATAATAATGATAATGTTAATGCCGGTGTTATTGACCGTCTTGACAATGTTATTTCCAAAATGTAGAAAAAATGGTACAAGGTCAAAAAATATTTGTTCTCACTTTGTCAGAAATATTGATTCCACCTATCACATTGTCCCAATAAAGGCAATGACACAATACTAAAAACAATGTCACAATTTTAAAATGAATCCACCTGATACTAAGAATTTAAATTTTAATAAACTACCCTGTATTCTTTTAATAAGGAAATTAAGTATGTGTAAATTCTAATTTATACGGAATATTGTGAAAGAAAACGAAAAAAACAAAAAAAAAATCAAAAGACACCTAAAAAATACAATCTGGATAGAAAAGGGATAACCAAGCAAGAAGATGGATAGAAAATACGATCTGGATATAACAAGAATAAAGTTGAAACCAAAGTCACCTAAAAAATTGACAAGGTATGTGAGCAGCGGACAAAAAACAAAAAACAACTACGAATAAGGGAGGAAGAGGAGAGCGAAATTAAAGAAGGAGAAGAAGGGCCTCCAGCTGCCACTGCTATATCCCCATCCCATTGCCGCCGAGTAGCCTGTAGCCGTACGACCAAGTCCTTCCGCCGCCACACTCGTGGGGCCATGCCGTACAGCCGCTACATCGCCGCCTGCACCTCCTCCTTGCCGTCCATCGTCTATTTAACCGTTGACTGACTTCCTCGTTTCAGATTTGATATCAAGACCAGATCGACCGCAGGAGATTTGGAAAAGGATTGGCAGCGGACGTCTCCTAAACGATTGAGGAAGATTATCCCCTGGAATAAATTAAGGGCAATCTTGGTATTTAGTAAAAAATAAGTCCTATTTCCGTTTAAAAAAGTGAGCAGTCTTATATGGTGTATTTAAGTAAAGTTATGGTCTTATTTAGGACCATTTCTCAAAAAGATATGAATCACAATGGAATCGTGGAAACCCCACCCCCTCCATCGTCAATTGATGCATATCTTCTCTTATTTTCCTCCCTTTTTTTGTCTATTCCTAGGAATTGATTTTAGTGATTCAAGAATGTATCCATCGCATTTGACTTGAGCTTTGCTATGGAATTTGTGGAACCCGTAATGAACATCCAATTTATTTCAGATTTTGAGATCTAGCGGGTTTATATGAACATCCAATGGAACCCGTGATGAGATATACATGATATGGTGTGGGTAATAGTACATCTGTTTTTTTTAATTGCAACATTAGACTTTTTGCACTATTCACAAATTTTACTTTGACTAAATTTTATTACTCAATGTATTTTTTGCACTATTCACATATTCTACTTTGACTATATTTTATTAATCAATATATTATAAAATAAATTTTTAAAAGATATTGTTAAATTCTTCTAATTCTAAATTTTCAAAATAGGAATTTTTTAAATTTTTTTACTAATAAGGAATAAAAGATATTAATGGTCAAACTTGTGCATTGTTAAACATAAAATGTTGACCGTTACAATTAAAATGTCAAACGAGGAAGTCAGTCAACGGAAGTATGTGTGTATTGCATTTTCAAATAGGTTATTGGTGAAGCTGCTGAAATGAGGATGCGCATGTGGCTACAGACGAAGGATATTTTGGGGTTTGATGAAAATCATTGCCATTATAATTATCCTTTGCTTTAATGTGTTTTTTTAAAGTAGGAGCGCAAGGATTTGAAAAAAAACACTAATTTCCTCATTTTTAAGCCAAAAGCTAAAAAAATACTCTTTTTAAACTATTTTTAAACTATTGCAAACACTCCTTTATTATAATCATAACAAGATGAAGTATCCATGCAATGCGCGTGTTTATCTAGAGTAGAAAGACATATATATATATATAACTTATTTAAAATATTTTATTATTTTCATTTATGCATAATGCATTATACTACGTATGTTGCAAGTTTTATTACCCTCATTGAGAACGACCGATAATGCTGAGAAGTTTTTTGTAGCCCGCATAGCGTTTAAGAAAATTTTCCCAGGTTCCAAATTTCTTGTTCGAGATGAAGTGATGGTCATTCTACACAGATTATTGACTCTCATTCTAGCTTTCCCAACACAAAATAGAACAGACCAGATCAGATCAGATCAGATCAGACCAGATCAGACCAAACTAGACCAGACCAGACTTCCTTAGTTATAAAATACACAGAGACCAGACATTTACCAGACCTGATCAGACCAGACTAGACCAGCAAATTTCAGTCCAAAAGAAACATCCTTATTACACTGATAAAAGCAAAGAGCACACTGCACACGTATCAAGATATTTTTTTTTACTATAATTACATATTTAAATTGTAACACATTAGATGCACCAAAGATGGGAAGATATCACTTGCCATTTTTGTATGTATTTAGGGCATCTCCATCCATGAGATTATTGGAAGATTAAGTTAGTGATGTGGCAGATTATTATTGGGGTCATGATTGGGTGATTGAGATTATTTGGTGAGATTATTTGACAAAATAATCTGGGATTGAAATATGAATCCAGATTATTTCAAGATTATTGTGAAATTAGTATTAATTAGTGACTGCAGGACCCACAAAAGATCTTATTATTTTGAGATTATGAATGATGTAATTTAGAATATGATAGATTATTTTGAAAAAATCTACGTGTAACTAAAAAAATCTGTTTATTAAAGATCACATATGAATCAATAAGATAGATTCATTGATTAGGTTTATCTATTATTTAAGGGCAAGCACCGTACTTTCTATACTATTTCTTTTTACACATTTTCTCACATTTAAGTGGAATTTTACCTCCAAAAAATGTAACAATATTGTTACTTTATATATTTAAAGATCCGTTTAATTGTGAAATTGAGTGAATAGTGAATTTTATTGAAATTACTTAAATTCTAGTTGAATTGACTGAATCAATCAAATTATGGAAAAAGTGTTTAAAATATGCGTTAATAAAATGATTATTAGAGATCATGAATGGATATGTTCTTATTTGCTATGAATATTATGAAGAGATTAAATTGGTGACGAGGCAGTTCTTTTGGAGAAGTATTATTGAGTGATATAGATTATTTAATGAGATTATTTACTACAATAATCTGGGGTCAAAATCTGAATCCGAATTATTTTAAGATTATTTGAAAGGTATATGTAATAGAGATTAATGCAGGACAGAGAAAAACAGATTCTTTGAATATGATAATTGTGAGGCATAAACAAATTTTGAGATTATTTAAAAATTAATTACATCACGATATTTAAATGGTAAGAATCATAAATAAAATGATTATTAGAGATCATGAATGGATATGTTCTTATTTGCTATGAATAAGTTGGTTTATTATTTTAACTAGTATAGTACCCGTGCATACGCACGGGATATATCAGTTGTGCATATATTTTTACTCATGATGTAATTAAATATTAGAATAAAAATAACTTTTTAAGATTCTACATTTTCAAAAAATAAGTGTACAATAAACTAATATCATAAGTGTAAGTCATGCGATAAATATTTAATGAACAGTATATTAGAGAAAATCGATTGACACCACTCATTTTAATTTGGTACATATTAATTCTTATGGTTATATTAATTTTAAAATTACATACTTAGTACTATTCTAAAAAGTGAGTACAATAAATGAATGTCATACAATTTAAGTAAATAAAATAAATATTTAATCAGATTATTAGTTAAATAAGAACTTGTTAATCATTAGTTATATTATTAGTGCTAACATATGAGAGAAATTGTCCTACTCATTTGATACCCGGTTTATTTTATACCTCAAAGAACTACATATGCGAGAACATTCTTCTGCTCAATTATTAGCCAGATTATCTTATACTACCTATTATCATAATTCTACCGCTTAATTGCTAGTCGCTTATCTTATACTTAAAAGAACTATATATATATGAGAGAAAGTTCCCCCGCTCAATTATTAGCAAGATCTTCTAATACCTAAAAAAACTACATATGATAGAGAAATTTCCCCATCTTAATTATTAGCAAGCTTATCTTCTTATACCTAACACTACTACATATGAGAGAGAGAAATTTCTCCCGTTCAGTTGTTAGTCATCTTATTTTATTATACCTAAAAACAATACATATGAAAGAGAAAATTACCCACTCAATTGTTAGCTCAATTAGTTATCTTCTTATATCTAAAAGTACTACATATGAGAGAGAAAATTATTCCGCTCAATTGTTAGCCGACTTATCTTATACTGAAAAGAACTACATATGAGAGAGAGAAAATTCTCGTTGAATTGTTAGCAAGCTTATCTCTTGATGCATAAAAGCACTACATATGAAAGAGATAGTAATAGGCTCAATTGTTAGCAGACTTATCTTATACTAAATGCATAGATAGTAGATTGATGGAAAAAAGGGATTTGATATGAGTTGGTATGAAAAGAATGTGAATAATCGCAAAAGAAGAATGTGAATACACAAAAGAAAAAGTAGCTCCCATTTCCATAGAGCCCAGATACATCAATTATTTAAGTATGAATCTAAGTAATATGTCATTAAAATATCTCTCTCAAAATTTATGTGACCTAACTGACATGTTTATTAGAACTTATGCATAATTTCAAATGACATCTTTATACACTAAAAATATTAAGTTTTCAAATGAAAAGAGTTGAATTCAGAATTGATGGCACTCAAATAGTTAAGTTTAAGCGTTCTAACACCCATTGACCACATCCAGAAACATCAAGAATCACTTCAAGTTCATGCAATATCCACATGAAGTTCTTTTAATAAATTATCAATGTACTACTCTAACAACAGTTTATAAATATTAGGCAGTTGTTACCTTTAATAAGAATGTGAGAATGCATAACAAAAACCCAGGCCCAAATAGTTCTATGGACAAAAAGTAATTCACAATGGTAAACAAACTCAAAATATGATCACAAACAACAATGACATATTAGTTTCCCCATCATATCTCAAGTTATTAATATCTCATTAATCATTAAAAACTATTTTAACTTAATATCTCATCACTCTCATGATAATAATTTGAATTAGATTTGGATTATTGAGGATCCACCAGTTACTACAATATTATACAACTCTAATAGGAGGAGATGGAAAGAAACTCTTATTAGAGAATTAGCATCTCCAAACTATTTTGCAGATGATAGACACAATGAAAGAAACTTTACATACATTAAATCTATTATACAAATATGGTCAGATTACTCATCATAAAATAATTAATAATGAGGCTCGAAGTTAAATTTCAATTATGTTAAAGTGAATTTTTTCCCTGCCTCCTTATTCTACTTCATTCGGAGGCAAAAAGAGTTGGAAAACGATTTTTACTCAATCATTAAAGTAAAGGTTCAGTCCAAACAAAATTGGCAGTTCTTAAACATAAACTAAAGAATCAGTTGAAACAAAAAAGCTTTTAAGCAAAGCAATATTTTTTTCTCAGTTTTTGAGAAGCACTCACACAAAGTTGCTAAGAAGTGGTTCTCTATTTCATATTTTCATATAGGAAAAGAACTGCCACGACGAAAAAAACATATTGTACCTTTCTCATATTGTATACTCTTTTAAGAATCTACAATATACATATTGATTCTTTTATGTATGTATATATGCATGTATGTATGTATAACAACAAAACTTATCTTTGTTCTTAGAGTGGAATAGCTAGATTCCCAAAAATGGTTTAAGAATATAAAATAATACTGATTCTTTTAGTTAGTCCTGCGCTTCTCTTTTTCCTACTTTCTTATTCTTCTTCATTTCTAGGCTAGATATGAAAAAAGTTTTTTACTAAAGCAATAAACTAAAGAATTAGTCCAAACAAAATAGGCAATATTTATTACTAAACTAAAGAATCGGTTGGGAAAAAAAGCTTTTACGCAAAGCAATATATTTTTCTCAGTTTTGAGAAGTACTCACACAAACTTGCTGGGAAGTGGTTCTGTATTTTATATATTCAATAAAGGAAAAGAACTGTCAAGACCAAAAAACATATCTTGCTCCAGCTCATATGGCTAAATTTCTGAATTCCCAAATTTGGTTTAAGAATATAAAATAATACTGATTCTTTTACTTAGTCCCTCACTTCTCTTTTTCCT